CAAAACCCAATTACCCCCCAAAACAAACAAAAAAACTAACATTTTAATGCTCTAGAATTCCAACAACGAGGGAATCTAATACTGCAACATGTTTCTGTTTAAGAATTTCAACAGCCTAGGTTCTAACATTTGAACATTTTAATATCAGAGGAGTTCAATTACCTAACAGTTGCATAGTCCAACAATTTTTACAGTTCAAAATTCCTACAATAGAAAAGCCCACTATTGTAATTTTTAACATTCTAGGATTCAAGCACTGAGTCCCACCTGATTCCCCCTTGCCATGACCCCCAGGCCCCTGATGACCCTGGCACCCAAAGCTAAGAGTGGGCCGGGGTTGGGGAAGGCCCGTTTTCACAGGACAGCATCAGAACTGAAGGGTGGGGACACTCTGATCAGAAGAGGGGGACATAGACCTCAGAACCTCTGGGGATTGCAAAGAGGCACCCGCCCCTCCACACACACCTCAGGCCTGGAGGAGGACAGAGACTGGACTCTGAGACCTCACTTGCCCCCGGCAGCTAACGCAGGCACCCACAGCCACACATGTCACCCGATCGCCATGGCCAACCCGGCTTCAATTTCTACTGTTTCCACCAAATGGGAGGCGGCGGATGGGCCTGGGTGGGGAGGTCCCCCCACTTCTGCCTCCCACACCTGCCCCCTCCTCTCGGCTTCTACACCTGCCCAGCCCCTCCCTTCCTCCCTGCAGTCTGCAGAAAACAAAACATGCAGGGACATGCAATTTGGGGAGGCCTCTGGGGCACCCCACCCTGACCAGGCCTCCCTGAAATGGGTAGTGAGGTGAGGAGGCAATTGGGGGCCAGTGCCCCATCTCCACCCACCAGTTGCCCAAGGCTTAGGCTCTCTCTCCCCCCACGAGCATGCCGCGCTGGAGGTCACCTCTGCCAGCGCCTCCCACCTCCAGACCTCTCCCCAAGCTGGATGTGCCCTCACCTTCTGGTCCACGATGGAGCAAGCCAGCTGCTTCACATGGGCCAGCTCGGAGGCGGTGGGCAACAGCACAAACTCGCGAGTTAGCCCTATCTGGATGTGGAAGGAGACGCCCGAGCCCGGAGCCGGGACATGGGGCAGCAGCGGTGGCGGCGACTGAAGTTCCAAGCCGCCAGAGGGTGGAGGAGACCCCGGCCCGGGAGAGCCCGCGAGCCCGGCGCCATGGGAGGGGGCCGCGGCCATAGGGCGAGGCCCAGGACCGGCCGCCCGGCGCCCACCCGGGATCCGGCTGGAGGAGCCTGGGCAGGGAGGCTCGGATCACTGGTGGTGAATTGTAAGTTGGTGGTGGGATCGCGGGGATCCCAGGGATCCGAGAAGAGAAACCTGGCAGGCTGAGAGGACTCAAGGATGGTGGGACCCTGGGAAATTAGAGAAAAGGGATCTAGTAGATCAGACGCCCACCCAGGAATCAGAGATCACAGAGGATCAGAAAGGAGAAATCTAATAGTTTAGGGGACCCAGCGAATGGGAGATTCCAAGATATCAAAGAAGAAAACCTAATAGATGGGGGACACAGGGCTCATAAGAGCCCAGGATCCACAGGACTCCTGGAGAAAGACGGGACAGGAAAGGGAGCAGGGGGAGCCAAGAATCTAGTGGCTCTAAGAAGAGGATCCATTTAAGAAAGGGGCCCGAGGTATTCACCAGACCTTGGGGGTGTAGAGCAGCAGTCTTTGAGTCGGGGATCGAGTGGGTGGATCCTGGGGATCGAGTAGATGGATCCCAGGGATCAGACGGCGGGCCCGGGGATGGGCAAAGGGATTCCGAGGCCGGGGTGCTAAGGAGGGAATCTCACGGGTCTCGGAAGTTGGAGAAAAATTCGGTCGGGGGCCGCGGAGAAGGGGATGTTACCGGCGGTAGTGGGGTGGCGGGGGGTCAAGGGAGGGTGGCCGGGCGCCTGGCACCCGCGGCTATTTTTTCCCCCTCCAAAGTTTAACTCGGCGGCAGCGGCCCAGGAGGAAGTGTCCGGAGCGACGGCGCAGTCGGCCAATCGGCGCCGGTCTCGGTGACGTCAGAGAGGGCGGAGCCTGCTGAGGGGCCGGGGGCGGAAGACCCGGGCCTGCCCAGTGCCTTCGAGTAGAGGGCGGCACCTCCCTGGCCCGGGTTTGGGGACCTGGGGTAGGAGATGTGGGGCAGGGAGGCTAGACAGGTTTCTCTCCCCAGTACACCCAAGTCGGGAAAGTTGACGTTTCCCTGAGCTGGAGAGGGACGGGCGAGCCACCCTCTCCCCTACTACAGGTCGCGATGCCGGGGCTGAGGAGGTGCCTGGCCCTTTAAGGAGGGGGGCCGTCTCCCCGGGCCTGCATCCGGCGCCCACCGCAGGGGAAAGGGTGGGAGATGGTGTCAGGTCCGGCCTGGTCTCTGGGCTGGGCCTCCCCCTCTTTCCAGAGCGTAGTCCTGGCTTCGCACCCGCCTTCCCCAAGCCCCAGCCCATTCCACAGGTGGGAAGACCGAGGGCTCCAGATGGGTAGAGGTCCTAGCCTCAGGTCTGTCTTAAGCAACCTTGGCCAAAGTGCCAGGAGCAAACTGGAGGGGCCAGGGCTGGGTTACCTGTACTGGGAGAGCCAGGCACAGGGCAGTTGGAGAATGGCTGTAGTGTCCATCAGCTCCCCACTCCACCCCAGTCCTTAGGATGGTGAAGCGCCAAAGAAATAAAGGCCTGGGGGTGAAGGGAAGGGCCATAGCAATCAGGCAGGATCACATACCCACACCACTTCATAGACGGAGAGCACGTTTTTCTCCTGGGGAAGTGGGCACGTGTTTCTGTGTGTGACTTTAGGTTGGTGGCTTCCCTCTCTGAGCATGTTTCTCTAGCTATCAGATGGGACGATAATAGGACTGACCCCAGAAGGACTTTGTGGGGATTAATGAGATTGTGGAAGGGTGCCTGGGACACAGCAGAAGTTCAGTAATGGCTGTTCAGTTGTAACTATAATGTGCTGAGATAAAGGGGTGGGCACCTCAGGCACTCAGGTGTTTATGGGTAGGTATGGTCATTCAGTCATTCAGCAGGTATTGACTGAGGGCCTATTATGTGCCAGACCTATCATAAAATATCTCTTCCAGCCCATTCAGGAGCAATTCAAACTTGATTTCTCCTCCCCAGCTGATAAGAGAGTGGCTACCATTTAGTTTACATACAGGAAGCTGAACCCTCAGAGAGGCAAAGTGACTTGTCCAAGATCACCAAGGGAGTTGCTGCCACCCACCCTGCTTTGAGAGGCCAAAGCCTGGTTGAGCCCCAAAGGCAACCCAATAGCGATATGCCATGGCCACCTGGGCTCCAGACAAGCAGGACTTGTTGGAGATGAGGACCTCAAGATGAACCCCCCCTTCCTGGTGAAGTGCTGTTGAGGGCAGCTGAGGTCGGTACAGTAGCGATTCCGTCACCACATCCGGGGGCTGACGGGCTGGGGAAGGAAGTCTGAGGCTGGAGCGAAAACCTAAACCACCACCTGGGGAAGCTGCGCAGAGCCCAGAGGGATGAGGGGGGAGCGAGGCAGGGTGGTGCCTGTAGCTGGGCTCCTGTTGGCCTCCCCTGATGGCCATCAGCCCACCCACACCCTTTGTCCAGACGAGTGGACAACCGTCCAGCCCTCGACAACCCAGGAGGTGGGCAATGCTGTCACAGCTGTTTCACAGAGGATGCTGAGGCCCAGGGAGGGACACCTGAAGCAAATTCACAAGGGGCTGGGAACAAAGTCTGATGACCTGCTGGGCTTTGAGCAAGCTCCTTGAGCCCCCGCCTCCCATCCTCCATAACACATGCGTAATGCTCCACTCCCCACTTCTGAGGTGGTGAGGACCTAGTGAGGCGGCATGTGAAGAACTCAGCACAGGGGTCTGGCTCTTGCTAAGCGCACAGCTGACCACTGCGATTCAGTCACCTTGGAGCAGGAAGGGGATGGAGTCCTCAGGGTGCCTGCAGTGAGGGGTCGGGTATTTGCATCCCCTCTTCCGGCAGCTCCCAGGATCTCCCTGCCAGCTCCATGCGGGCACAGATGTGGGGAGGGGAGGAGGGGGGTGGCAAGGACTCTAGGTTGGAACTCTGGCCTCACCACCAATCATCACAAGTGGCAGAGCGGGGGATCAACGAGTCTTGAGCTGAACTGTCACATCACATCATCTGCTAGTCAGGGCTCTGCTGCTGTAGCCCCTGGGGAGGGAGCGCTTAGGGACAGAAAGGAGGGGCACAGGGAGATTCGGTCCTGTGCCCTCACTTCCGTCCCTCCACCCACACTCCACCGGAGCTCTGGGCCCCTCTGGTCCCTGCACCCTACCACAAACCCCAACCCATCACATCCCCTCTCTCCAAGCTCCACCCACCCTGGCAGAGCCAGCTACTCCTCCCTGAAAGTCCCCAGTCCCCTCGACAGCACCGCCACCCATCTTACTCCAAAGGGTTTATTAAGACAAGTTTCACATACAAGTCCAGGGCAGAGGGGATGGGGCTTATAAACAGGAACCTGGAAGGGGGCCAGAGGGCACAGGGTGGAACCAAAAAAGAGTGAAATAAATAGAGGAAGAGAGTGGAGGGCCTGGAGGGGAGACTGACAGACTATCACACAGTGATAACAACATGGGTAGGGGTGGGGCTCCGTTAAAATCCCATTTATTTATACAGATATACAGGGAGTTATGGGGGACTGGGGGGACCCCACTCCACCCTCCATGCCCCAGGGAGGGCAAGAGAAGTCCATCTCTCCCCATGGGTGACCCCATGGGGGTCTGGGGGGCTGCCCTTGGAGGAGTGTTGGGGGAGGTAGGGGTGGGCTTCTCCCCCAAGGGCATCAGCTGCTCCTCAGGCAGTTACTGGCCCTGGAGATGTTGGGTAGTGTCTGGAAAGCTGCATTGAGGGAACTGGAGGGGAGGGTGGTTCACTGTGCACACTTCTGGGGTTGGCGAGGCCCAGCACT